GCTCCCTCCTGCGAGTCGCCGTCTGTGGCGGAGGTGAAGCCGGTGCCAGTCCTGTTCGCCTGCAGTGTGCGTAGCAACTGGGCTGTAAACCTGTCGGAACGGTGTCTGTGCCAATGGCTGCGGGCGGAGGAGGCTCGTTCTCTTACAGGGGGAAGCAAGAGGGGACAAGGCGTGTGGTCTCCGTCTTGGGTGCTGTTAGAGCAGACTGAGGTTACTTTCTTGTTTCAAAGTCAGTTTGCGACTGTCTACAGAGAAATTCTTCTAGAAAGCTCGACTTTCTCCCTCTTTTTGCTATACTGTTTCAGTAACCTGAATAGTTGGTAAAACTCTTCATGTAGTAGTGCAATTAAAAGAGGGAAATGTTGCAGTCTAGAACGGACAGAGCTGAGCTGAGGTTATAGTACATGGCCTGCAACCTAGAGTAAGTGTTATAATGGTAAAACATATGAGCAATGCTGGAAGGAGAGAGAACTTCCTTCATTTCCATGCTCTTGTGGTTTTGATCTACCATATTATTATGCATATAAACTGTCTGGTAAGATTTTCACAGTGCTCAGTGGTGTTATTGCTACTTGTTAGAATATCCATAACAGGCGGTGAACCGGTGGCGATCAGAATCCGTAGTCAGCTAAAAGCTGATCAAAAATGTCTTCCAGTAGGAAGAATCCTTTCCTGAGATACCTGTATTTGCACATGTGATGTCATTAGCCACCTAAAATGAACATGGAAAACAGTTTTAAAATAATTTTTTAAAAACTGTGCAACAGCTGTCAAGCTTTCTCAATAATCCATGTTTTTATATTACATAAGTAAAGCCTAATATAGTCATACTCAAACTTCATTTAAAAACTTACTTCAAAGTTTTCCCATTTACAGTTTTTAGAGTAACACACTGAGTAGAAAATTAAGATCTTTTTAAAAATCAACAGGCAATAAACCATAACTAGCAGTCTGCTTTTGCAATGTAAGTGAGAATTTTAAGTTCATTTTAAATGCAACCCTTGCTGTACATTTACTACCTGATATTCTTCTGATCTTGTGGCCCTTCGCTACATTTTACTTTTGTAGGCAGTCTCATGAGAACAGTTGTTGTGTTCAGTTTGGCACTTCTGTGTTCTCTCTCTGTCCTTTATGTTTTTGTCTTTGCATTCTTCAATACTTTGTGTATTTGTGGAGTGTAAGATAAAGAGACTGATCAAGCCCTGCTTCTTTTCTTACCAAGATTTTTTTCCCCTCTCTGTCTTTTTTCATTTTCTGTTGTTTTGCAGAATTGTTGGTACCTATGACATGGTACGCCAAACTCAAGCATGAAAGCACAACACAATATTCCATACAGCAGTCACTTCTGTGCTGAAGCATTAAATTACTCTGAAGCTACTACTGCTGGTACTGGATCTGCACATGATCACTCTTCACACAGTGAGTGAATTAGTAATCAAGAAGCATGGTGGGACTACTTATTAACAGCAGAAAAGCAGAAAGCTGTGGCAGAACTTCCATTTGTTGAAAATTGTGGCAAGTTCTCTAGGTAAGTAGTGGTGTAGAACTAGTGATGGCTTAGCCATTCTTGAGTTTTATGTGGCTTTGTACACGTGTAGTTTTAGGAGCTATTAATCAGCTGCATTTCAGTAACTTCTTTTTCTTCTTCATCCTTGTAGCACTTTTATTCAGTGATTAAATTCAAGACATGGGGCCAATGAAATACAAGTCAAGCGTGTCCTCAGTGTCCTGTGGTCTGCAGTATCACCGTTCATTGATAAAGTGGAGTCCAAAAATGAATTTACACATAGTGCGGACTTACTGCTCATCAGCACCGAAGAGGCCTGAAGCCAAGTCTGCGATAGAAGTGGCCACGGGTCTTCTTAATCGGCTGACAGAAGCTGGTACCGTTATGGGAAAAAACTCCCTGCAAAAAATGTCTGCAATGTGCAAGAGTTGGTGGGATAGATATGAAGAGTTTGTTGGAATTAATGAAGTTCGAGAGGCTCAGGGAAAAGTGACAGAGGTAAACATGGAGATAATGTGGAAATTTTAAAATTATGGGTTAAGGTATATGAAGTAGAAGCACTGACTGTGAGGCAAAAAAGATCCTCCAAGGAGAATCATGTCTCTTTTTCTACCTTGACTGTCTGCACAGATGCTGTGAGTGTGTTCTAGTCTATGCATATTGGTAAATGTAGCTTATTCCTTAGTTTGAAATGTAGTGTGGTTTGTTTTGGTTTGGGTTTTTTTCCCCAAATTCATATAATGAGTGATTTAGATCTGTTCACAAGTCTCTAAAATAAATACTCTTTCTTCTCAGGCTGAAAATGTCTTTATGATAGCTCGGGGGATAGTACGAGAGGCTCGTGAAAATGTAGAAGCCCAGCAGATCAAACTGAAGGAAATTCGGGACCGCTTAGACAGGGTCTCTCGGGATGACACCCAGTATTTGGAACTGGCTACTCTGGAACACAGGTTGCTGCAGGTAATTTGTTGGTACTTAAGCACTGGCAGCTGTGATGAAAACTTCTGTGCTTTGCTTCCGTCACTAGTGACTGCTTTTGCAGAGGCAGTTCAGTTCTGAAGTACAGTGATCTGAGTTAATTTCTTATGATACTTGTTTTAGTTAAGTATTACTGATGGTTTGATCTGCTATGCAAATTGTATATGTCAATGCTGAAATAGGGTAGCAAATTCGGAGAAGAAAGCTGAAGATGGTGGGCCTAGAAAATTAATTGTTGTAGCGGTTACCTGTTCTTGAGTCGTCAACAAAAAGCTGGGATTTAGTGAATTAACCTTCCACGTGATGAGAGAAGCTCCTTTCTGATTGTTAATCCATGAACACTCAGCTGCCTTCTACGTGGCTGCAACACCAAGGCAATTCAGTAAAGCTTTTGTCAGAGAGCAGCAAGAGCAAGACTGCTCCGTGAGGGAGGGCAAGCAAGAGGATGAGGTGACCACAGCGCAGGCTGGGGCAGTCTCCTCACCAACAGGACGCAGTCCTACGGCACCTCAGCTGGATGAGCCAAGCAGGGCTGGTGACAGGAGCCTGTTTATAACAGTCCATCAGTAAGAGATGAAGATGAGGTAGCAGCCAAAGTCAGTCCAGGAAATCCAGATGAAACTGCAGGAACAACAAGGAGCGGGCCTGGAAGCAGGTACACCTATGGCAGAGCTCAGGCAAGGAGTGGGTACCAATGCCTGAGCTTAAACTGGGCTCCTGATCAGTGAGTAGAACATCAGGAAAGAACTAGAGAGCTGTGGTTGTTTAAATAAGGAACCAGGTCTGCGTGGATGAGGCTTAAAGAAGAATAGAGCTCTGCATGACTGTGGAGAAAGAGAAAACTCAAGTCACCACTGTCCGTAACGTGATAGTGCCATCTTAGAAAAGAAATACACACTCGCAATAACGAGAATAATTCTGGGAGATGCAGGGAGAAGGGGAAGACATTTACCTCTGAGCAGGGTAAGAAAGAGAATGCGGAGGAGTAAGAAGTGTGTATGTTCATGAGATGAACCTATCCCAGACATCCTTTTCAGTCCTATTTTCAGTTCCCACTTACGAGGTTTAGAACTGAAAGGGAGAAGCGTGGTAAAGGTAGTGTTTAGAGAAGTAAGCAGGGCTGAAAAAGTGTACATTATGGGGAGAGAAAGACCTTGCCCACTCATACCCCTTATCAGTCGTCAGCATGTGACAGACTGTTGTGTAGAGGCTCTTCAGCTGTGATTTCTGATGACCTTTTCCATTTCTCAGTTTTGACTTAAAATGACGTCTCATTGACTTAAGTAGGATTAATAAAGAAAATCCCACATTAAAAGGAAAATTTCTGAAACAGAACTAATGGATGTTCTTAATTTCCGTTCCTCCTTCTTCACTGGGTTTTTGGGGTGGTTTTTTTTTTTAGTTTAGACTTTATAGTTCCGTATTGTACTTTCTCCTTCAAATCACTATGTTTCTTGCAGGAAGAAAAGAGGTACCGAGCTGCGTATTTAAATGCAGAAGAATCTGAGAGAGAAAAATTCTCTCTTTTCTCTGCAGCTGTAAGGGAAAGTCATGAGAAAGAGCGAACAAGAGCTGAAAAAACGAAGAACTGGTCTATTATTGGTTCTGTACTGGGAGCCATTATAGGGGTTCTTGGTTCCACCTATGTTAATCGAGTAAGGCTGCAAGAATTGAAAGTCTTGGTGCTTGAAGCACAGAAGGGCCCAATAAACTTGCAAGAAGCCATCAAAGAGCAGGCCTCCAGCTATTACTTACAGCAGAAGGATCTCAGTGACGTCATAGCAGACCTGAAAAATGTGCTGCAAACAAGGACATCACAGGAAGCAAAAGAAGGCACTTTGTTAATGAAAGAAAACAGGAATGACTCCATAAAAATAGATTCTCTTTTAATTCCTTTAAATGAACAGCTAAATTACACTAAACAAGTCAGTTCGTGTCTAGGGAGTTTACAACAGCAGTTGAACAGTTTGCAGGAAGGTGTAGCGC